CAGAGATCAGCACTTAACCAGCGCATTTAGCTCCAGTTCTGGGCACGAATCAACATTCAATGACGTCTCTTGAAGCACAGATTGGGGTGGGGGTGAGTAGGAGAGTTTGGATTTGTGTTCCGGGAGACTCGATCCGGATATTTATACACCTTAAGTAACGGAGGCGGACACCGTGTAGTAAAAATGTGCATATGTGTGTATTTGTACGTGTGTCGGGGCGTGTGTGCATGGGTGTATACATACATTGCAGTTCAAAAATGCCAGGAATTTAAGTGCAACTTGAAGGACCTTAACATTAAGAATTAACTTAAAGAATAAAGGAGGATTTTCTCAGCTTGAGTACGCCCAGCTGCGTTAAGACCTAGATGTGTCACGGATGATCGGCCGTGGATTGAGTTTTACAAATCCTGGTCAGGCTTGTCTTTTGATGTGGTTGCCACTTCGGCTGTTAGTTTCGAGAGCATCAGATGATTTACTGAAGATCAGGTTGTTTCTTTCCCTGGCGACGACTTTCCCTCTCCAGGCAGGGACGAGTTTGAGCTCTGTGGGTGAGGCTCCGGGGCCCCTCAGGGTGGAACGCCTCACCCACGGGCCCCTCGAGCTCTGGGGGCTGCATGGCTGGTGGCCCTGCGTAAGGGGGGGGGGTCTGAGTATTGTTTTAAAGTTACCCTTCTTGTTTATTGTGTTTTAATCACCGTGACTTTTACTAAGGTTGTGGTGAACAGTGGCATGGGCAGTGTCTGTCCATGCTTGGTGGCTAGGGCAGTGTTTCCCAAACTCTGTTCCTCGGAACGCTCAGAAGACTGTAAGTGGCCAAGTAAGTTCGGAAAACTGCCGCGTGCTACATGTTTTCTCGATGATTTGCAGCAATCCTTTAAAGACTGGGAAATTCCTGTGGGAAAACCATGTAGCCTAGCAGTTTCTAAATTTATTTGATCATTTGACGCTTAATTTCCAGGAGCATTTATTAGCTCTCAATCCTGTAGGAACGCCCTGAGAAGCCCTGGCTCAGAGTGAGTGTGTGCAAGGGGAGGCGTTGGGGCAGAGCTCGTGATTACCGACAAGGCTTACATGCTAGACTGCGTATTTGACCATCACAGCTGGGAACCCCATCCTTCCCCGTGTTCCAGGAAGGGTGTTCCGGGTCCGGGCTGGCCTTGGACGCCGGCCTCCCGCACCCGGCTCTGTGCAGTCCACTCCCAGCAGAACGTGTGTGGATGGGGCTGCGGGGGCCGGGGGCAGAGGAGGCCGAGGTGCCCCCCACGAGGTGGTGCCCACCCGCTCGCTGCCTGAGCTCAGACTAGCAGAGGCTACAGCCTTCTGGTCTGTGTCCCGACTCATCACTTCTAGGTCTTTCCATTCTAGCTGTAGGCCTGTTGAAGTCAGGACTGTCACAGTTTTCTCTCAGTCCTGCCAGCGCTTTGCTCAGAGCTGAGTTGGTTGTGACCCCCTCGTTGTCCCCTGTCTGGGGGATGCTGTCCTGTGGAGTGTGCTTGGGCCGTGCCTGGGAGCACCGGGGTAGGCCTGGCGGGTATGAGTAAACTGAGTCACTCGGGCTGAAGTTACCCACCACCAACCAAGCCCACTAAGTGTGGCACAGTATTAAAAATATTTGCATATTGACAAGGTCAAGCACTTTTTAAAAATACTGTAGTGTCTTCTCTGCGCTTCGATGTCTGTGAATTTTTTTTTTAAGATTTTATTTATTTATTTTACAAAGAAAGAGAGAGCACAAGCAGGAGGAGTAGCAGGCAGAGGAGAGGGAGGGGCAGGCTCCCCTCCAAGTCGAGAGCCCAATGTGAGGCTGGATCCCAGGACCCCAGGATCATGACCTGAGCTGAAGGCAGATGCTTAACCAACTTAGCTGCCCAATATCTGTGAATTCTTAGTTAAAAACTACTAACATTTTTAAATAATAAAGAATTATTAAAAGCAAGTTCCCCAAGTACTATTTAAGGAGAATTTTTCCAAAACCATTATTCTGTGTTGCGTGAGACGGTCATATTTTGTAGCAAATCTTTGGAGTCCCACATTTTTCTGTTCCTAAGAGAGGTTGTTTTATAACATTTCTCCTTACAGGCTACAGAGAAACACCAAAGGTGATGGGACTTGCCTAAAATCCCAGGGGAGATTGTCAGGTGAAGCCGGACTAAGGACCCCTTTACAGTAAGGGCAATGTCCTTTGCCACATATTTGTCTAATTACCAGACATTTCAATTTATTTGTAATGTCAACTCCTACTTCCTACTTCCTTTGAAAAACAGTTTGGGACAGATACAGAACTCATGTCAGAAGCAAAATCATTTGTGGGTTCAGAATGCTTACCTATGAAGCTTGGAAAGTGTGGTTTAAGTGGGGGTAGGGGGATGGGTAGATTTGCTTCCTGTAAAGTCTGTGGGAGTATCTGCGTGTCCCGCTCCCCAGATACAGAGTCTGTTCCTGAGAGTCTCCCGTGGCAGCGCGTGACTGGACATCGGAGGGAGGTCTGGCTGGAGGGCTGTGCGTGGACCCCCAGCATCCCCAGATCTCCAGTCTCTGCACTGTGTCCTGACTCTCCGTGTCATCCGGTTACTGCGATCGCCTCTTTCCACGTGTTGTTGTAAGTGAATGGTTGTGAAGCTACTCAAGAGGTGGTCCTTGGACTAGCTGAGTCAGAATCACCTGGGCTGGGGAATTTAGTGACATGCAGGTTCCTGGGCCCCTCCCCAGACTCCTTCCCAGGTGGGGCTGTGGGATTTGCATCTTTAGCAAGTTCCCCAGGTGATTCCTTTTTTCCCCTTTAATTGAAATATAATTGACACACAGTGTTATAATAGTTTCAGGTGTACAACATAGTGATTGGGCAAGTCTGTGCATTACTCTGCGCTCACCATGAGTGTGGTCACCATCTGTCACCGTACCACGTGATTGCAATACCGACTATCTTCCCTGTGCTATACTTTTCATCTCTGTGAGTTATTTATTTTATAACTGAAAGCTTGTACATCTTAAACCCCATCACCTATTTTACCCATGCCCCCACCCACCTCTCCTCTGACCACCACCAGTTTGCTGCATTTCAGAGTCTGCTTGTTTTTGTTTTTTTCAGATGCCCCATCGATGTGAAATCATACAGTACTTGTCTTTCTCTGACTTATCTCACTTAGCATAATACCCCATAAGTCCATCCACGTTGTTGCAAATGGCAAATCTCATTCTTTTTTAAGACCAAGTAATATTCCATTGTGTATACATACCTTGTCTTCTTTATCCAGTCATCTGTCAGGGGATTCTTAGGTTGCTTCCATATCTTGGCTGTTGGAAATAATGCTGCAGTGAACAAAGGGGCGCAGATATCTTTTCAAATGAATGTTTTCGTTGTCTTTGGGTAAATACCCGGTAGTAGAATTACCAGATTATATGATCTTTCTTCTTTAAATGTTTTGAAGGCTCTCCATACTGTTTTCCACAGTGGCTCTTGTGCACATATAAGTCAGAATTACCTACTGAGGGTCCTCAGGGCAATGCCTTTTAGAAGGCCCCCAAGGGAAATGGCTTCTCCTGTTGCAGATGTGTTCTGGGAGCTGACCCAAACAGTCCCCATGGAGGCTCCCTGCGACCTCTGTGTCAGCACGGTTAGCCACATAATTGGGATCCACCAAAGAATCTCCTGGGGTTACTTCAGATATCCCTCTTGCACACGGATTTCTCACTGAGTCTTCCTGAGGTGGGGGGCAACAATATTTAACTTCTATGTGGCCTCAGAGGTCCCAGAGCTGCCTTTTCGCTCCTCCCTTCCCCCACTCACACTGCCCACCCTGTTCTCCCTTGTCCTTCCCTCCATCCAGCTCAGGCAATGTGTCAGCCCCTTAGCTATTTTTAGGCACTGAGCAAAATGTGGGAGAAGCCCCGAACGCAAAGAGAGCTGAGAAGCGGGAGAGCGTACGAGATTGGTGGGGAGGGGTGGGTCCGAGAGGGCCGGTGGGCCAGGCTGAGGCTGGGAGCAGGTCTGGGAACTCGGTGCAGAGGCCTTGCTGGGCAGCAGGGGACTCGGGTCCCGATATGACCCACAGCAGGGGCTTCGCCCTTCTTCCAGGGTTGCCCCCGCCCCATGGACACCAGGGATCTGGGGAGAGCACAGGCATGAGCACATTACCACATCTCAGTCCCCCAGCCAGCCCCCCAACACCTCTGGGGGCCACCTGTGCTTGCCTCAGAAGCCCCCATGTGCACGTGCTGTGGCCATAAAGGCCACGTCGCAGCTGGGGCTGGAGTGGGAACTGCCACCTACCTTCCCTCTCCTCTGCCTCCTCAGAGGCTCTGCCAGGCTGGCCGCTGCGCCCTGTGTGGACATATCGGCGATGGGGCAGGACATGAAAGATGTGGAGAGATTCTGACACATGATGTTTTCTCCTGTAAATAATGGTCATTTGATGCTTCGATAGCCCGGAGACGTTGGAAGTGGGCTGCCGAACCTGAGACCTGGGTGGGTGGAGCTTCCGTTCAAACAACACGGATTTGGTGCCAGTGAAAATTCTAAGGAAGGGTGAGGGCGAAACTGTTGATCTTTAGGGGAAGTACAGGTGTGAATCTTATTAAGAGAAGTACTTGGCTATGGTAGACCAGTAATACCTTTACTCCCACCCCCCCACCTTTTTTTTTTTAACCCTTTCCATTATTTTTTTTAAAAATATTTATTTGATAGAGATAGCGAGAGAAAGAACATGAGCAGGGTGAACGGGAGAGGGAGACGGAGCCTTCCCACTGAGTGCGGAGCCCGATGTGGGACTCCGTCCCAGGATGCTGAAGGCAGACGCTTAATAAATATCTTTACTTTTGGAATTGTGTGGAGAGCTTGAAAAGTCTTTAGCTTAACAGACACTCTCACAAAGCTGACGTCTCAGTTTCAGAACCGGGGCCCTGGCGGCTCGTGTAAAGGGAAAGAGGACTTGTGAGGGACGGTGCTGGGTTGTCGGTAATGGTATACTGTGTCCCAACTCCGATGTTGTCTGTCATTGCAGGTGATTTTCAAAGCCAAGTCAAAATATTCTCCAGAATTACTCAAATACCGGTAAGTACCCGGGGGGATTTCCATCCTCATTTGGAAAATATATTTTCGACTATTTAGGACTTGGTTAGGCAGCCTGAGGCAGAAATGTAGCTTGTGTCCTTGAGGAGCCAACGCCCTGTGCAGGTGTCCTGAACAATGCCGGAACTCCCAGAACCCGATGAAGCAGGGGATGTTCGGGGAATTGGGCAGTCTCTGGCCTGGGCTGCTGTGTACTGTGAGAGCCATAGGAGTTTCGTGGAAAGTCAGTCAGTGCTGGGCTGAAAGGGCAGGCTCGTAACCTGGAAGGGAGCGCCTTAAATTACGTGGCAAATTTACATGAAGAGTTGGATAGGCTTGTTTTTCCTATAGAGAAGGTTTGTACGTTTCCCCAAATTTTCAGAGGTCTGTGACCCCAGCACCCCCAAGAGCAAAGAAACCGGTGGCTTAAAGAATGGTCAGACTTGGTCAAAGGGGAAAGGACTCAAGGCATTCAGAAGACATGGGGCAGGTGTGTGGCGTTCTGATGTCCCTGCTCACGTGAGCTCCAATGTCATGAGCAGACATTTCTGGGAAAGCAATTTTGGCCACTTACCTTCTTGAATCAAAATGAACAATTATTTTGTGGCTTTAAAAATATGTAAAAATGTGTGTATATTGTATTTTATTTAAATATATAATTTTAAATTTATGAACACTTTTTATTTAAAATTCTGGAAGTGTATTTTTCTCGAGATATAATTGACATACAACATTATATTAGTTTCCAGTATCCCACAGGATGATTTGATATTGGCCTATTGCAAAATGACCACTTCAGTAAGTCTAATTAACCTCTATTACCGAACGTGGTTACAAAATTTGTTGTTTCTTATGATGAGAACTTTTAAGATCATGAAAATGTATATTTTGATCTCAATTTTATATCCAAAGAAACTGAAATTCAGAAAGTAATACGACAGTACTGGGACCAAGAGAGAAGTCATGAGACTCAGGGTGCCATGTTTGTTTTTCTCACCTAAACTTGAAGTCTTTGTTCACTACTTTTTGGGTAGTTTGGTGCATGTTTCTACTAGACTACTCAGCTGGGACTTGACGGTCCACCATGAAAATATGTTGGTCTGAAGGAGAACCCTTTAAAGGAGCAATTCCAAGTATACAGTCCCTTCCCTTCTCTGGTAAGAAAATAGCTGGCCTTTCCTCCACACCCATAATCTAAGCCTCCAGCCTCTTGACTAGAAATATGGATCAACCCAGGGACTGGGGAGCCAAGAATGGGTGAAGACTGGGGAGGAGGAAGAGATTCTGATTGGATCATGGAGCTGGTCTTATCTTGGAAGTGGTTGGTTGAAGCTGAGGTAATGCAGTGTCTTCTAGAAGTGGAATATGAAAGCACTGGTCAGAAAGGAAGGCTGGTTCAGAAGTTTTCAGCCTCTGAGCCCTTGGGGGGTGGGGTCCATTAGATGTGAGGGGGTGTGTGGGGGGGTGCAATTCTTGATCCTGGAACCGAAGTGCAGACACCAGGATGGGCTGTTTTCAGTGGGAGGGGGTTTGCGGAGACGGAGAGAGAACACCAGGAGAAAATCAGCTGGGTGAGATGTTCGGGCTGGAGAAGACGGAAGAGTTTCTTGAAGCCAGAAGGGTGAGAGTCCGGTGGGAGGAGCCTCTTGACTCCTACGTCATAATAAAGAAATGCTCAGAGTTATTCGTGTTTATGCCCATCTTCCATCTTCTCTGTTTGATCCCCCACTTCTTTTTCTTTTTAATATTTTATTTATTTTTTGAGAGAGAGTGAGAGAGGGAACACAGGCACTGGGAGTGGGAGAGGGGGAAGCAGGTTCCCCGCAGAGCAGGAAGCCTGATGCGGAACTCGATCCCAGGACCCTGGGATCATTACCCGAGTGGAAGGCAGACGCCCAGCGACCGAGCCCCCCAGGCGCCCCGATTCCCCACTTCTCTTAATCCAGATGCTGCTGCACACATTTCAGTCCATGATTTATCCCTCGAGGTGCTTTGGTATGTTGGCTTTTGAACAGGCCGGCTTCCCTGACTGAACCACAGCTCACTTGGAAAGAAGCACAAGCCATCGCTCTAGAAGTGGTGGCAGCTTCTCCCCCCAGCTGCTCTGGTAGCCGCTCCTAGTCTCTGAAGGTGGTTTATACTAATCCCCGCCAAGAACCGCTTCATTTCCCCTAAGTCCCCTCTCTCCCTGACACACCCGCACACTCAGCTTTGCTGGAGTTGGTGCCCATGTGATTCAGTTTTTCTCTTTCTCAGGCTCTGCTTGTCAGTCTTCGGCTTAGGAGGCGTGAATATCGCTTGGGGGGTGGGCTCAGAACACTTCGATTTTCAGCGTTTTTAACTGTTTTCCCTCCATCTTTGAGTAAAAAACACAACGAACCAGGCTTTGCTTTTCCCATTCTGGAAGGAATCTCAGATCTCAGAAGAGAAATTTAAACCACGCTTTACAAGCCACTGACACTCTCCCCTCAGCATCGGAGGGAGCAGAGTTCTTGTGCGTGGAGCTCGCGGGCGGCCCACAGGCCAGGCACCGAGGTCCCCAGGCCCTGCGGTCAGCGGCCTCAGCGACTGTCTGTACTTGCAGACCCGCCCGATCCTTGTGGGCTCACAAGCAGAGTCATCCTCCCGGATGACTGGTCCCACTGATTTCCTTTTCCTTTGGTCTTTTTTCTCATTATAGGCTGTTTATCCTGACCCTCTGAGCTGAGAAGTAGTCATTCTGGGGCAGGTGGGCAAACACTGTTGCCGTGGAAATGCCCCCTTGCCATAGGATTTGATCTGCACCACCCCCGCCCCACGCTCTCTCCACACCTCCCGATCTCTCCCCATCTTCCAGAGCTGCAGGCCCCAGGGGAAGAGTTAAGTTTTGCAAGGTTTTTTTTTTTTTTTTTCATTATGAAAGTTATATAAGCTCATTAGAAAAAAACATAAAATAGAAAAGCATTGGAAGTTTGTGAATAGAGACATGTGGAAAGAAAGAAACCAAATCTAGTGCAGCCCCCGCCCCCGCCCCGCCCTACAGAAACCCCATCCAACTCTGAGGAGACACAGTAATGTTTTCCATTGTAGGTTTTCGTCTACCTTTCCCAGAACAGAGTTGTTTTGCCACATTTATGATTTTGCTCTCTGACGTTGACCTTAATGTTGGATTGTAAGTACTTTGCCCATGTTGTCTCAAGCCTCCCAACACAGCTGATTTCTTTGAGACAAAATCAGGCAGTTCAGCTCAGGTCATGATCCCAGGGTCCTGGGATCCAGCTCCATGTCGTCATCAGACTCTGTGCTAGGAAGGGAACCTGCTTCTCCCTCTCTCTGACCTTCCCCCTGCTTTTGTGCATGAGCACTCCCTCATTCTCTCAAAATAAATAAGTAAATAAATAAAATCTAAAAAAGAAAAAACTAAAAAATACTGGATGGATAGGATTCTGTTTAGCAGGTGGTCCTAGCGGCTCATGGAGTGGGGTAGGCTAGAAAGGGAAGGGCAGGAAGGTTTTAAGCAGAAAGCTCCGCTTGTGTAAAGACAGAAAGATGGGGACAGCTGGATGGGCTTCTGGCCAGCACACAGGCAAGCTGATTAGGATGGGGGGTGCCCATTGGTTGACCTGGCTCTGGAGACTGATTGGAAGTATAGGGGACTGGAGGGTGCCAGAGTGGAGTCGAGGTTGGGGGGTCAGTCTGGACACCGTCACGTTGGTTTTAGACAGAAGCACAAGGCCATGTAGTCGGTGACGATGGGAAAGGGGGGCCCACAATGAGGGGAGCAGGAATAAAGAATCTGTTGAACTTGACAGCTGGTTAAACTGGGGTGTAATCCAAGATCTTTATTGTTTAGAAGTACAAAGAAACTGGTGCCTTTCGGAGAAATAGGAAAGCCGAGAGGAGTACTGGAACAGGAACTTTGGGAGTTAGGCTTGGACATGGTCTGAGGGGACAGGGTTTCCGTGGCGGGCTGTTTGGAATGTGAGTCTGAATGTAGGACAGGGCGGTGGCTTTAGATGAGCAGTAGGAACCTGGGCGTCCGAGGCTGTAACTGAGGCTGCACGAGTAAGTGCGTTTCCCGGGGTGGAGGAGAGCGCCATGGGTGTCGTCACTTTGCGGGAGGAAGAGGAACCAGGGCTGTGCAGGGGCAGGTCAGACGGGAATGGGAGGCAGGCGTAGGGCCGTGGGGTGATGGACAGCAGGGCTCCGGGAAGGCAGGGAGAGACGGCAACCGAGAGCTGACCCCTTTTGGTTTGGGAGTAGGTCATGGGGACCTGGGAGAGTGTGGGGTCTGCAGGGGATGACCTGGGAGGAAAGGGTGATAGGGTGACATGAAGACTTTCTAGGAGCTGCTGCTGACCGAAGGGGAAGCTGGGGTGAGGCCGTGAGGCCCCTTGGGGTAAGGTCAGAGGACTGATGCTGTAAGAAGGCACAGAACCCAGTGGATTCTCACGGCGGCCCTTTGAGGCAGGCTGGGAGACCTCATCTCTCTTCTGTAGGTGAGGACACGCAGCCCAGAGTGGGCAGGAGAGACTGGCCTGATGTCTTGGCTCCGTGTGTCTCTGGGTCACACTGGGCAGTTGAGGGTAGGGGGAGGGGAAGGAAGGAAGGTGGGATGGAGGCTGGGTTGCCATTGTGTGAAAATCCAAGATGGAAAGGCACGGCAGGGAATTGGGAACATCGACCGTGCTAGCTATCGTGAGCACCACACGGTTGGCATTGAGTTATGCCCAGCTTCTTCACACTTTCCTTACAGTTCTCTCTCTCCCTGTGTCCCCTCCCCCCTGCTGTGGGTCCTATCAGTGACAGTGTCTAGAGCTGGGACTATCATTCAGGAGTCTTTTTTTTGTTTTGTTTTGTTTTTAGGATTTTATTATAGGAGAGAGAGAGGGAGCATGAGTAGTGGGGAGAGACAGAGGGAGAGGAAGAAGCAGGTTCCCCACTGAGCAGGGATTCCCGACATGGGGCTCTATCTAAAGACTCTGGAACCATGACCTGAGCCGAAGGCAGACACCTAATGACTGAGCCAGCCAGGCACCCTGTCATCCAGGTTTTTGTGTCCTGGTCTGTTACATCTTTAGAAGATACTCTAGCTTCAAAACCGTTTTTATTTTTTTTATTTTTATTTTTTTAAACTACTTTATTTATTTGATAGAGACAGAGCAAGAGAGGCAACACAAGCAGGGGGAGTGGGAGAGAAGAAGCAGGCTTCCCCCCAAGTAGGGAGCCTGATGCAGGACTTGATCCCAGGACCCCGGAATCATGACCTGAGCTGAAGGGAGACGCTTAACAACTGAGCCTCCCAGGCGTCCCTCAAAACCGCTTTTAGTCGAGAGTTTTCTTTTTCTGGATTTACAGACCTAGTCAACATAGACCCAGTCTGATTTTGAGCCCCGCACGTCTGTTCCTTGTTGGCGTGTTTTCCGAAGGAGGTAGACACCACGGGCCATCCTGAAGCAGTCGGAGGCTGGGGCCTTGGGTTTCAGTCCGTCCGAGAAGTCCACTGGCCGCGCACCGGTCACAAGCAAGCAGGCGGCTCCGGGAATCTGTGGGTCACAAACGGCCGGGGACCCAGCCAGCTGGTGTCCGTTCAGCCCCGCGCAGGGGCTGAGGCAGATCTGACCACCTCCCAGCGGCAGGAAAATCAGGGCTCGGGCAGCTTCCCGAGGGCACCATCTGTATCTGCTCTGTGATCCGCACGTGAGAGCAGCTGCTCCGCAAACCCGCGCTCTGCGTGTCCGCGCTGGCGCGTCCGATTCCAGCCATTAACGGAACGGGCCGCGCTTTCCTTGCGGGTCGATCCGGAAGCGCAGCCAGCAGCAGGGCGTGGGGCTGACCGCGCTCTCTGGTTCTCCCCAGGCTGCCCCTCTACCTGGCCTCGCTCTTCATCAGCCTCATTTTCCTGTTGGTGAATCTGACCTGCGCGGTGCTGGTGAAGACAGGCGGCTGGGAGAGGAAGGTCATCGTCTCGGTGCGCGTGGCCATCAACGACACGCTCTTCGTGCTGTGTGCCGTCTCCCTCTCCGTCTGTCTCTACAAAATCTCGAAGATGTCCTTGGCCAACATTTACTTGGAGTCAAAGGTAGGTGGACATGTGGTCAAGATCTCTTCGTTAAGCCAACTCTAAAACAGTCTCCCGGTCGCAGACAGAACTCAGCAGACGCCACCCACACCTGACCTGCAAATGGTTGGCCGCACCCTAGCTGCCAAAACCTGGAGTGGTGTCGTTCCTTGAACTTCGTACGTGAGAAAAGTTGCTTTGTAGTGTGAGAGTGTGAGGAATTACCAGCAGGGAGGCGGCCTGTGCATAGACACAGTGTTTAACCAACATTTTAAAGGACTCGCCGATTGCTTGTGCTGATGAGACTAGTAGGAACACTTGCCTAGTGTCCCCTGTGTTCCAGGCACTTTGAGATCTGCATTCAGCCTACGTAAGCTCATGGTGTCCTCCCAGATCTCTGGGAGACCAGGCCCTGGAGGTCAGTACCTGGCGTTGCCCTACGCAGCCCGGAGACAGAGAGCCAGGCTTCCGACTCACGGTCTGGCCGCAGGCTCTGCAGATGTGGATGGAGGCTCCCTTCAGGACTGACTGATGTGCCCAGGAGAGGACCGTGGACACTCCAGGGAGGACACTGCCCCCTGGAGTTCAGGCCGGCCCTTGCACCGAGCTCTTGGTGGGAGATGGAGGCAGCCGGCAGAAGAGGCCGGTTCGGTTTGCTGTGTGCTATGCACCCTAGAATGCCTATTTGCTCTTCCTTTCCCCAGAGTTCTAGGGAAGAGCTGACATGCTTGTGGGCCCCCAATCGGCCTCACCCTGAGTCTCCCTTGGTTGGGAAGCCCAGGGAAGAGTGGAGGCTGGGGAAGGGGCCTTGGTTTTTGCACTTGTGCAATGATTGAATGATTTCTGTAATTCCTCTGCTTCTAACCATGTCCTCTGGTGGATCCCCTGTCTGGCTGACCCCCCCTGTCTGGGGTACTTCTGCTGTCCAGCAGACCCCCCTGTCTGGCCGACCCCTGTGTCTGCCTTCTTTGCCACGTGGCCCACCTGGCTATAATTAGTCTTATGTCTGAAGACTGTGGGGAGCTCTGTCCCCCACGATATTGTGCCTTCAGTAGTGACCAGTAGACTAAAATCTGACCTCAGAAACCCCAAGCCTTCATAAGGCATCCGTGATCAAGCTGACCTCTGGCGAGGTCCCTCAAGACTTGAGTATGGCAGGAGTAGTTTTTCTCATGTATGAGTTTTGACAGATTTCAGACTTGATTTTGACACAAGTTTTGTCTGTTTGTACTGTCTCCCGTGTGAGGGCTATCCAAGGCTTTAAAAAAAAAAACAGAATCGTGGTTTTTATGGGAAGAGTTACATTTCGGTTGCCAAATAACCATTTAGATCAGCCCTGTGGCAAACACACTGTTAAACTGCTACTGGCAAAATAAAATAGTATCTTGTTGATGTATGATTTCTCAATGCAAATTTCAAAAACCCGTTTCATTTTTTTTTGGTCACGTTAACTATACGTTTCTAGCTTAGGGCCCTTTAATGGACCGTAAATTGATAGCTTCATAAATGGGGGTACAAATCACCAATTTCCATGTAATTCCAAGTCTGGAGTGAGACCAGGGCTTCCAGCCTAGAAGATTCTGGAATTTGAGGAAGTGCTCCCTGCCCAGGGCCATGGTCCACAGGACCGCTCCCCCAGTCGCCACCCTGCTGGGGTTGGTTGTCCCCGGGCCAGACACTGGGCAGTGGGCTCCCAAGTTGAGAGATCCTGGAGATGGAACAGCATAAACCATCTGACTTTCTCATTCTTACAAACCTGGGCTTTAGGCAAATGGTCCTTATTTTAAGGCTTCTCCAAACCAACTCCCAGATTTGGAAGTGTCTGTATGGAGATCCTTTGACATTTGAGGAGGGAGTGTGGGGTGAGGTGAGGTTTGGGTGTGGGTTTACCGGTGAGAGCGGACACCGCGGTTTGTGCCCCCGAGAGCTGAAGGGTTTACTAGGTATGAAGCCAGGACAGGTTCTAGGATGAGGCTGGTGTGTTGGACCTGGAATGGGTGCTCCCCTCATGGCTCCCTCTTTTCCAGGGCTCCTCTGTGTGTCAAGTGACAGCCATCGGAGTGACCGTCATCCTTCTCTACACCTCCCGAGCCTGCTACAACCTGTTCATCCTGTCGTTCTCCCAGAGCAAGAATGTCCGTTCCTTTGATTATGACTGGTACAATGTCTCAGACCAGGTCAGTGGGCACCGGTGACGTGTCCCCTGAATAGCGACCCTTTGCTTCACAGCACCCCATGTGTCAGAGAGAGGCTCCTTGCTTTTGCTCCTGCATTGCTGGGTGACCTTGACCATCACTTACCTGTGTGGTATCTGTGTCTGTGTCTGTCAGATGGGGTCATAGTACCTGGCTTGTCCCAGCTCACATCTTCTGAGACAACTAGCATCTAGGTGCACACGTGCGCATGCACACACACACACACACGCACACACACACACTAATTTCTGGGGCTCTTGACAAACGGTACTTAAAACATTTTTAGGGGCGCCTGGGTGGCTCAGTGGGTTAAGCCTCTGCCTTCAGCTCAGGTCATGATCCCAGGGTCCTGGGATCGAGCCCTGCATCGGGCTCTCTGCTCAGCGGGAAGCCTGCTTCCTCTTCTCTCTCTCTCTCTGCCTGCCTCTCTGCCTACTTGTGATCTCTCTGTCAAGTAAATAAATATTAAAAAAAAAAAAGAAAAAAAAAATTTTTAAGTGCTTCCATATAAATGTAAGATGGTTTTATTAAAGAGTGAAGTTTGCCTTGGTGAAACAGATTGTATGCAGATTTCAGAAAATACATAAAACCATGGCTTTATTTTTTTAAGATTTTATTTATTTGTCAGAGAGAGAGCAAGCACAAGCAGCAGCAGTGGTAGAGGCAGAAGCAGAACTCTCCACGGAGCAGGGAGCCCGATGCAGGGCTTGATCCCACGACCCCGGGAGCACGACCTGAGCCGAAAGCAGATGCTTAATGACTGACCCATCCAGGCATTCCTAAAACTATGGTTTTTTAAAAGTGGAGCATGGAGACAGCATTTGAGGAGATCGAGACAAAAATGACTGGGGGGGTTGAAGGTGTGAGTAAAATCTCATTTTACCAGTGGTCACCCCATGATATTCTCGCCATTTTAATATATGCTAGAAACTCGTGAGTCATAAGTTATAAAGCCGTGAACAAAGGTAGTGACATATCATCTGGCATTCTTGTTCACAAAAGCCAAAAATAAAAAAAGAATGGGAATGAGGTCGCATCCTCTCATTTGAGAAATACCGGTTCTTCGTCTATCATGCAGGATAGAGCGCTGGGGGTACAAACGTACACAGATGGCCTCCCTGCCCCACAGCAGGAGTTTATGTCCCCTGAGGAAAACAAACACACAGATAAGCCATTACAACACGCAGAACTTCTGCTTTATAATAGGCTCTACTGGATTGAAGAAAGCTCCTTAACTGTCCCTAGAACAACACCGAATGCTCAACTCTAGAAAACGCACGTCTCCAGTCCCAGCAATGCTCCCTCCCTGGGCTGGATTCACACTCCAGAAGAAGACATTAAGTGACCCCAATAAGCATGGGAGGACAAGATGAAATTTGGAAGGGGCACAGGGAAGGGGCTAGAATTCGGAAGGGTTCAGACCACCACTGTCCAGACCAATCCCACCTGTATAGGATGGGAGAGATTTGGGCAAGGCACTGCCAAAGGTGTGCCCTGTTTGGAGAAAATCAAATATATAAAAATTGAATCTTGGAACAATAAATGAGAGATTTACTCATAAGACCTGAAGGATTTCATTGTAGTGAAATGTCCATCAATGGCTACTGTCGTAACAACTTTTGGGCAGACGGCAGCAGCCTGGCATTCAGCCCTGTCCCCTTGCTGGGCAGCTGTCACCGCTGTCTGTCTCGAGAACGTGCTTGTCCTCCCAAACCACAACCCCATACCCATTAAACACTAGAGGTTAGGTTTTAACAGAATAATTATTTCAGTTTTTCTTTCCGGTAAGGGCTTATAATGGTAACAAACTTAAAATAACACAATTTTTAAAATTCTGTTGTTTTTAGGGGGAATGTTTATTTATGAATATCTAGACCTGTGTGTTGCTGGCCCCAAGCTGCACATTATCCACATTGAATGGAAGGGACAAGCATGCTACCCAGCTGAGTTAGAGAAGGGAAGCGAGATGATACAGAGATGGGGAGACAGTTTCCTGGAGGGGCCTGATCTGCTCGGGCTACTGCCTCCAAACACAATGCAGGTAGAAGGTAGAAGAAGAAGGTAGAAGGATTATTTAGGTGATCGGCTTTTCATGGCTTGGTTTTGGTGCACTTTGTCTGAAACACTGCCCTTTGTGGGAGAGCTGCCCAGATGCGACCCTGTGCACTTATCCTGGGCCCTGAAGACGGAGGACAGACTACACACCAGGCCCGTTTGGCCATCCCACTGGTCCAGACAAACATCCTGGACTGGAAACAGTCTTTTTCCAGGTGATCTCCCCTGCAACCAGCTTTAAAGGATAAAGAAGAGGATATGGGGAACAGGAAGAGAAGTTTAAAAATTGATGGGTTTATCCCAGGGATGAGACAGAGGGTGACAGTTATATGCTGTCCTCAAAGATATGGGAGGGAGGGCGCCTGGGTGGCTCGCTGGTTAAGCAGCTGCCTTCAGCTCAGGTCATGATCCCGGAGTCCTAGGATCGAATCCCGAATTGGGCTTCCAGCTCTGCGGAGAATCTGCTTCTCCCTCTGACCTTCTCCCCTCTTGTGTTCTCTCTCACACACACACTCTTTCTCTCTTTCAAATAAATAAATAAAATCAATCTTTGAAAAAATGTGGGAGAGACCTAACATCTCCCTATTTGATTGTTGAAGGAAAGAAGACTTACATTCAAGAGACTTAGCTTGGATATGAGGTGGTTTTTGAGGGTGACGTAATAACCGTCAGAGATGGGCAGTTCCCACATTTGACTGTTTTGAAGAAAAGAATTCTCTGCCCTGTGTGGTTGGAATGACTCCCCACCTGGGTTATTACCTGATTTCCACAGGAACTGCACCATATTAGAATTAGCCTTTCTTCATGTTAGCAAGAACCAGAGCAAAACCTCAGTGTGCTGACTGCATGCCTCCCCTCGCTTTTCAACAGGCGGATCTGAAGAACCAGCTGGGAGATGCCGGATACGTGGTGTTCGGGGTGGTCCTCTTCGTGTGGGAGCTCTTACCCACCACCTTAGTTGTTTACTTCTTCCGAGTCAGAAACCCTGCGAAGGACCTTGTAAGTAAACCATCTTCTAGTTGTGGAAACTGTCTCCTGCTTCTCATCACAATGCATGCTGTTGGGGCTTGACCTTCGATTTTCAGGAGCATGCCTCTTTCATCCTGTTGTGATATAAAAAGTTCCCTTGTCTGCCTGAGATGGTCTTCTCCCTTAACTCTGATTTATTTAGTTTGTTTGTTTATTTTTATTTTTATTTTTTTAAATTTCTTTTCAGTGTTCCAGAATTCATTGTTTATGCACCACACCCAGTGCTCCATGCAATCCGTTCCCTCCACAATACCCACCATCAGGCTCACTCCACCCTCATCCCCTCCAAAACCCTCACATTGTTTTTCAGAGTCCGTAGTCTCTCATGGTTCGTTTCCCCCTCTGATTTCCCCCAACTCCCTTCTCCTCTCCATCTCCCCTTGTCCTCCATGCTATTTGTTATGCTCCACAAATAAGTGAAACCATATGATAATTGACTCTCTCTGCTTGACTTATTTCACTCAGCATAATCTCCTCCAGTCCCGTCCATGTTGCTACAAAAGTTGGGTATTCATCCTTTCTGATGGAGGCATAATACTCCATAGTGTATATGGACCACATCTTCCTTATGCATTCGTCTGTTGAAGGGCATCTTGGTTCTTTCCACTGTTTGGCAACTGTGGGCATTGCTGCTATGAACATTGGGGTACTGATGGCCCTTCTTTTCACTACATCTGTATCTTTGGGCTAAATACCCAGTAGTGCAATTGCAGGGTCATAGGGAAGCTCTATTTTTAATTTCTTAAGGAATCTCCACACTGTTATCCAAAGTGGCTTCACCAACTTGCATTCCCACCAACAGTGTAAGAGGGTTCCCCTTTCTCCACATCCTCTCCAACACGTTGTTTACTGTCTTGTGAATTTTGGCCGTTCGAACTGGTGTAAGGTGGTATCTCAATGTGGCTTTGATTTGAATCTCCCTGATGGCTAGTGATGATGAACATTTTCTCATGTGTCTGATAGCCATCTGTATGTCTTCATTGGAGAAGTTTCTGTTCATGTCTTCTGCCCATTTTTTGATGTGATTATCTGTTTTGTGTGTGTTGAGTTTTAGAAGTTCTTTATAGATCCTGGATATTAGCCCTTTGTCTGTTGTGTCATTTGCAAATAATCTTCTCCCATTCTGTGGGTTGCTTCTTTGTTTTGTTGACTGTTTCCTTTGCTGTGCAGAAGCTTTTGATCTTGATGAAGTCCCCAAAATTCATTTTCGCTTTTGTTTCCTTTGCCTTTGGAGACATATCTTGAAAGAAGTTGCTGTGGCCAATATCAAAGAGGTTACTGCCTATGATCTCCTCTAGGATTCTGATGGATTGCTGTCTCACGTTGAAGTCTTTTATCCATTTTGAGTTTATCTTTTTGTATGGTGTAAGAGATTGGTCGAGTTTCATTCTTCTATACATAGCTGTCTAATTTTCCCAACACCATTTATTGAAGAGACTGTCTTTTTTCCACTGCGTATTTATCTATTTTAATTTCTTTTTTTCTTTTTTTTTCCCCTTAACTCTTTTTGAGGGAAATTCATTTTTTCAGCTTTGCTCTTTCAGAAGAAATGAAAGTTGCCTCTCAAGGCATAAAGATAGTGACTGACTGTTTTCCTAGTGCAACAAATCTCACTGGTATCTGAGCCTTGACTTGGGGTGAACCAAATATATAAGCTTTTATTTTTGGAAAGGGAAATAAAAACTGGTACTTGAGTTCTTCAGCCCTGTGTTATGCTGGACAGTGAGTTGGGAACTCGATGACAGGGAAATAAAAACATCATGAGGGTTGCTAACCCCACTCCCCTGGTTTGGTCCCATTTCTGCTGGGCCACCTTTGCATAATTGTCTTTCTCAGGACGTGACAGAAAATGCACAGCTTGCGAGAGTGAGGAAACTCCTGGGCGCTTGTGCTCCGTGAATTATTCTAGCCACACTAACGAGGGGTAGTATTTTGAGTCGCTGATCGATGAAGCCCCCAGAAAAGTATAGAGAATGTCTTTTGGCCAATGCGAGCCAAATGTGGGAGGGCAACAAGGAAAGCAGATAAAATTACCAACCAACCAGTTGTGTTCTACCCTGTTTCTTTTTCTTTCTTTTTAAAGATTTATTTATTTGAGAGAGAGAATGCTAGAGGCAAGGAGGGGCAGAGGGAAAAAGAGAACCCCAAGCAGATGGCCTGCTGAGTGCAGAGCCCAATGTGGGGCTCCATCCTATGCCCTGAGATTATGACCTGATCCAAAACGAGGAGTTGGCTGCTTAACTGACAGAGCCACTCAAGCACCCTGACCGTGTTTTTTTCTCACTTTTCTCTTATTCATCTCTGGATAGTCACCGGTCAGCCAGAAACGGTGGAGGGCGGGGGAGCTTGCCTGGCCTAGGGCGTGTGGGGCAGCCCAGCCTGACTGTGGCCCCTGCAGAGAATGCAGTGGGTAGCGTTTTCTAGACCGTGGGATCCGCTTCCTCTACTTCCGTTATTTGTAGCTGCAGGACCGTGGCCGTGCGCTTCCTCTGACCTTCACTTGCTGTGGAAACAGCTGGAGGCATCTGTAGAGTCAGATCCAAAACACTTGAAGCTCCCTGACGCAGAAATGGGACAGGTAGGCCCCAGATTCTAGGCTGAGAGACCAGGTCCTTATTTTCCTTCCTTCTCTGAAGTTTTCTGGGCACCTTGCGGTACCAGGGGATTATGAGGGGTCGCTGAAGCTGACTCCTGGAGCTTGTGGAGGCCTCCCCCGGCCTCTGCGTGTACCTTTTTATCAGCTCGTGTCTTGGAGGCTTCAGAACTGGGCTCCCAAAACCCAGAGTAGACGTCCAGATTAAACAAGAGGAAGGTTAATGTGATAGTGTCCATGTTCTTCTACTAAGTGAATACAGAGTAATGTCTGCTGTGTACTTGCAGATGTCATTATCCAGGGACACCTGTCTTCCTTAACACACTCCATGTAGATGCAGTTACTTGGTTATTGGGCTTGAATAGAGTTCAGGGTGTTCTGAGTATTTTCTAGAGCCGTGGTTCTTGAACATGGTGGTCTCGGGAGACTTTACATGGATTAATTTTTTTTTAAAGATTTTATTTATTTGACAGAGAGAGCATGAGCAGGGGGAGCGGCAGGCAGAGGGAGAGGGAGAAGCAGGCTCCCCGCTGAGCAGGGAGCCCTATGTGGGGCTCGATCCCAGGACTCTGGGATCATAACCTGAGCTGAAGGCAGACGCTTCACCGACTGAGCCACCCAGGCGCCCTGTGACTAATTTTTTTACTGAGCGGTGATTGACGTACTAGTTTCAGTTGTACAGCGTAGTGAGTGGGTATCGTAGCTGTTACACAGCGATCCTAACAAGCCCGGTTGCCATCTCACAACACGGTTATGATGTTTCTTCTTGGGCTAACTTTCAAGGTCCGCTCTAACTGCCTTCAGATGTGCAGCACACTGTTATTACGTGTAGTCAGCGTGCTGTACGGGGTCCCCAGGACTTAGTCACTGTGTAACTGGAAACGTGTACCTTTGACCCCTTCCTCGTGGTTCGCCCACTCCCCATCCCCACCTCAGGCGACCACCGTCTCCTCTCTGTACCCACGCTGGGGTTTTCTCTGCATGCTCCGAGATTCCACATACGCGAGATCATACAGCGTTTGTCTTATTCTGACTTACTTCACTCAGCATAATGTCCTCAAGGTTTATCCATGTTGTTGCAAATGGCAGGATTTGGGTGGGTGTGTGTTTGTTTGTTTGTTTTTTGGTGGTTGAGTAATATTCCAGTATAGTTCCTTATCCTTTCATCCACTGATGGACTTTTGGGTCGTTTCTGTCTCTTGGCTCTTGTAAATAATGCTGTGGTGAACACGAGGGTGGAGATACCCTGTCAGATTAATGTTTTCATTTCCTTCAGATAAATGCAGAAGTGGGATTGCTGGATCACAGGCTGAGTCTATTCTTACTTTTCTGCGGACCTTCTGCTGTTTCCCACGGTGGCTGAGCCCATCTACGTTCCCACCAGCAGCGAGTGTGAAAGGGTTCCTTTGCACATCCCGGCCAACACTGGTTATTTCCTGTCTTCTGATTTCAGCCATTCTGACAGGCATGAGGTGATCGCTCACTGTAGTTTTGATTTGTATCTCCCTGATGGTGAGCGATGTTGAGCATCTTTTCATGTACCTGTTGGCCATCTGTAGGTCTTTGGGAAAAATGTCTGTTCGGGTCCTTTGCCTATTTTTTAATTGGATTATATTTTGCCATGGAGTTGTAGGAGTTCTTCATATGTTTTGGGTATTGACCCTTTATCAGATACATGATTTACAAACACCTCCTAGTCAGTCTGTTACCTTTTCATTTTGTTTATGGTTTCCTTTGCTGTGTTGGAGCTTTTTCATTTGATGTGGCTTTACATGTTTATTTTTGCTTTTGTTGCCTTTACTTTGGGTGTCAAATCTAAATCATCATCCCCAGTACTGACGTCAGGGAGCTTACCACCTGTGTTTTCGTTTAGGGGTTTTATGGTTTCAGTTCTTACATTCAAGTGTTTAATCCATGTTGAGTTAATGTTTGTGGGTGGTATAAGAAGACAGTGGTCCAGTTTCATTCTTTTCCATGTGGCTGACCATTTTTCCCAGCACTCTTTATTGAAAGAACTGTTGTTTCTCCCATTATATAGTCATGGCTGCTTTGTTGTAAAGCACTTGACCATGTAAGTGTGGATTTCTTTCTGGGCACTCTGTTCTTCCATTGATATGTGTGTCTATTTTTATGCCAGTATCATACTGTTTGGATGACTGTAGCTTTGTAATATCATTCGAAACCAGGGAGCATGATGCCTCCAGCTGTGTTCTTCTTTTTCAAGATTCTCAACTCTTCAAGGTTACACTGATAAATTATTGAGGACCTACAAAAGCTCTTGTTTGGAGAGGGGTGTGCGTGTGTGTAAAATTTAAAAAATTAATTCTCTATAAATAATAAACCCATTATATGTTACCATAAAATTTTTTTCTGAAAA